TTTTGGTCTAATATATAGCAACAAAAAAAATAACCCACTGGTGATTAAATATTTGTTTACAAAAAAATGATAAAAATGTAATGTGGGTACAGTGTTGCATGACTGAGTAATTGTCATTCAAGTGTGACAGCACTGAAAAATTGCCTGGGCAGGAAGGTGGTGAAAGTATCCAGTATTGAGATGGTTAAAAAAGGCCCAAGATTCAGACTCCTTGGATTGGCCCTGGGGATTGCAGTGGCATGTACCTCTGGGTCAGTGTTTCTAGATGTACTAGGATTGCTTCTCCCTCCAGTCCTCTGCAAGCTACCCCTGCCCCTGCAAAAAACAAAAAACAAAAAAAACAACTGGCTGCTCTGACCTCGGAGTATGCATCATAGAAAGGCTTTGTCAGCAATTCAACTATCTCTTGCATGTCCAGTGCCTGTGTAGCATTTTCATTTTGTGATCTCAAAGACAGATGTGCCCTGTTTCTAGATGGTGCCACCCAACCTCCACTTTGTCCTGTAGAAAGTACTTACAACTTACTATCTCTGCATGAACCTCTGCCTATAACTTTTTATAACATTTTTTTTAAATAAAGGGGACTGCCCTATATTTTTTTGTTCCAAAAATACTTTATTAATATAAGAAGAAACAAAATAGCATATAGAGCATATACAGCCATAGATCACAGTCAGAACATAAACATGACATGTTGCCTCCCGTTTCACAGATGGGACATATTGTAAACTGTAATACAAGTCAAAATGGGGTAGAACATTACGTCAGGCATACAGAGTAAACCAGTGGATACGCAGAGGAAAGAGGATCGATGTATGTATATGTTGTCACTTCTTAAATATCAGCAATTTTAAATGATGAGGTGATATGAAGATTAGGGTAGGGAAAGCATTGGATGCTTTGAAAGTCATGGTTTACGTATTTATAACTTGAGTGAATAGTTGCAGTTAGTCATATCTGTGTGGAAGTAAATGCTCTATTTGGTTGGTGAAGAATGAATGATAAGGTTGTATAAAAGGTGTGAAAAAAAGGAGGTCTGAAAGAAAAACAGTAAGAAAAAGAAATGTAGGATGAGATGGTGGGGGGAATATGGGGAAGGAAAAAAAAAAAATAATAATAATAATTTGGCGAGGGACGGGAGTAAGGGGTTAAGTGGCAGTAGAATGTATAGGTAATAAAAAGTTAAATTGGATCACTTCCCTAAGCATTAGCCAAGCCAGAAAGGTAGTAATAAGGCTTAGAATATGGTACGTGCAAGTTCGGTCAGTGGGGTAACCGTGGATCAAAAACCCCGTAAGGCATGTCATGATATAGACCTACAGCCCATCCTTACACGTGGTAAAAGTGGGGACTGCCTATATTTAATGGCAGCAATGGTAATAGGGGGATAAATATATGGTGCTTTGGTGCACCCTATTTTGCAGCACAATTATGCATCGATGTGCTCTCCTCAAAAACTAAACCCTAAAAAATAAAGTCCAACCTTTTTTTTTATTTAAAAAAAACATAAAAGAAAACAACAAAAAGAAAACCGCAAGGGCAACAGCAGCTAAACAGCAGCTACAGTTGTTGATGACACACAAAAAGTAGTCCTAAAAAGAATTGCTGGGTGTATGCTCTTCTATGATAAAACTAATAAAAATATTGGAAAAGAAAAAGGACTGTTGGGTCTCTGAACTCAGAAAATACACAAGTAATCTATCACACAGTAAACCATAGTAAATTACCAGGGGCGGACTGACCATTTACGCACTCGGGCACTGCCCCAGGGCCTGGGGTCAGTAGGGGGCCCCATGAGATGCCCCTGGTACCTTTCATAGGCTTTTTTGGGTGTGGTTTGAGTGCGGGCAAGGACACAGGGGCCCCATGATTTCCTATTGCTCGGGGGCCCCATGAGTTGTCAGTCCACCCCTGTAAATTACTGCAAAAAAGTAAAATCTCCATAAATTTAACAGAAATAATAAAAAAAAAAAACACATTCACATCATTTCAGTGCATATTAGCACTACATACAGTATTGTACAATTAGCCTGGATAAGCCAATGTACCTATCTCTTTCTTTCCTACCAGCTCATCACTGCTTGCCTGTGATCCCAGCTCCACAGTTGGATTGAACTGCTGCTCCAGACTGACAGGGACTCCACCTGCTATACATGTTACCAACCTCTGCCCTATTACTGAGGGCTGAAGATAGGAACACAGGGGTTGATTTACTAAAATTGGTGAGTGCACAACTGGTGCTGTGGTACATGGTAGCCAATCAGCTTTTAAGTTCAGCTTGCTCAATTAGGTTCTGACAAAAAAACTGGAAGCTGATTGGTTTCTCTGCACAGCTGCACCAGATTTTGCACTCTTCATTTTTATTAAATCAATTCCACTAGGATTTCAGGCTGTAATATAAAGTGCTAATATGCACTAAAATTATGCGAGTGTGATTTTATTGTTATTTATAATAAACATATGGATATTCTTTTACTGTACATCCTAACAGGACATCTTAGAACAGTGAGGAGGGGAAAATGTATATTGTCTGTCTTTAGAAAAGCAAAGGAGGATAAGTCCTTTTTCAAATAAAGGTGGAGGAATTCACTTTTCTTGGTAAAAAAGAAAATTGTGATGGGAGAAGAGCAGATCGCCTTTTTTTTTCTTTTTCTTTTTTTCATTTAAGAGACTTTATTTTACCTTATGTGTTTAAGTCTATTTATGATAACATGATACATATATTAATTGTAATTGTATTATTTATTGAGAGGCACATATTTTAGGTAAGTTTGTGCATTGGTGTGCTGCATAATTTATATATTTGACATATTTTGATTTGAAATATGTAGCAGCTGATTTGGGATTTTGTAGGGAGAGAGCTTGATAGAGTTGATGTATCATATACAGTGGTCATATATATATACATACATACACATAGTATAAAAACGAACTGCTGGTAACCTGATCTTTTATATTGAATGGGCTGGCATGTACCAAACCCTCATTATTTGCCAGTTTAACCCTGCGGACCACAGTTGAAAGGTTACACAGGGCACTATGCATTCTTGAAAATAAGGTCCAGGAAATGTATGTATAAATTTGCCAGATCTCCTAAACTCCAAATTGGGCATTAACTCACTGTACAGAAAAATCATGATGAAATCAGACCAATAGAAAATGGATTTAATTGCTTGCTCAGGTTGACTGACGTTAAATAGGAGCCTAACTTACTACCAAAATATTTTTTTATGTATTTTTTTTTCATGTATATGTCTTATGTATATTTTCTCTCTGTCCCTTACCCAAATGGTAAAAAAAAACATTCTTCTGTTCTTGTTTGTGCTACAAAGCAGAACTTCCTGGATTCTGGCCTAGGTGCAGCGTCACAGCTCTCCCAGGAGACAGTGTATTACTAAGCTGCAAACTCTGTTGGGCAGTATAGTGCAAATCTGCCAGAAGCTAACAACATTTGTGACCATGAGCAGAAATCTGCTACTGATGTGCAGTTATACTTCCAGTCTCTACCAGGTCTCAGTTAAGCAAAACATTTCCATTTGGTGAGGAGCAGCAATTTTAGTCATGTCTAAATTGAAACACTAAAAATGTAACTCTACTTTCGTAGGGAAAAAATATAAGAAATAAATTATATATATATATATATATATATATATATATATATATATATATATATAATGGGAAAATAATTATTATTTGATTCCCTTCAGATTTTGTAAGTTTGCCCACTTACAAAGAAATGAAGGGTCTATCATTTTTAGCATTCTTTGTCAGTGGTCAAACTTACAAAATCTGCAGGAGATCAAACAAATATTACATAAATAAATGTATATATATGTGATTTTGCAATTCCGGGTAGGGGCGCACGGGGCTGTCGGAAATCACCGGGGTCCGGCAAGTAATCACTGGCCGGGACACAGTGATTTCCGATGATCTCTGCCGGGGAGAACTGTTTTGTTTACAAACAGTTATCCTCCCTGTCAGCTTGGGCACACTGCTTTGGTTGGTTGTGCACAGCCATCCAAAGCAGTGTGCTTACAGTGAAGCACACAGACACCACCCCATAGTAAAATACTCCCAGCACACAGCTAACCCTTTGATCGCCCCTCATGCTAACCCTTCCTACCCAGTGGCATTAGTACAGTGTTAGTACTTCTTTTAGCACTGATCACTGTATTGGTGTCACTGTATTTCAGAATGCCCGCCACAGTCCCGCTATAAGTCACTGATCTCCGCCATTACTATAAAATGTGAAAAAGATTCCAGTATCTATACCCACCTCTTCAGGGAAGCCCTACCCCACCCTCTCCTAACAGCCGCTGCCGCCCAGTCCTACCCGCTATAAGTCACTGATCTCCGCCAGATTGTAAGCTAGTTAAAATTACCAAAAAAACTGTACTGTTTCATGTAATTCCAGTAAATAAATAAATATAAATTTGTAAACGCTATAACTTTCATGCAACCCATTTAGTTTACACGTATTGGGATTTTTTTTAGAAAAGACATGTAGCAAAATACATTTTAGCCTAAATTTATGACTAAATTTGATTTTTTAAATTTTTTACTGGACATGTTTAATAGCAAAAAGTCAAAAATATTGTTTTTTTCTCAAAATTGTTGGTCTTTTTTTTGTTATAGCGCAAAAAAATAAGCAACGCACAAGCAGTCAAATACCACCGAAAGAAAGCTCAGTTCATGGGAAAAATAATGTAATTTCATTTGGGTGCAGCATTGCATGATTGCGCAATTGTCAGTTAAAGTAATGGAGCGCCATAACGCAAAAAAATGGCCTGGTCAGGAAGGGGAATAAATCCTCAGGAGGGCACGTGGTTAAAATTCCTGAAATGTACATAGATCAACCATTGGGGAATGTTTTTTTCTCAACAAAAGTGGAGTTACCCTTTAAATTACATGCCTGCGGAGTGCTCTGACCCAGCCTATGACGTCCTCCCATTCTCACCGAGCATGCGCAGCTCCCGGAGCGTGCAGTGCAGCGATCGGTGGTGCACTGTGTCCCTCGGACACAGCGGATCACCGATCCACGGAAAGAGCCGAAGATGTCGGCTCGGTCATGTGATCAGCTGTGTCCAATCACAGCTGATCACATGTAAACAGGGAAATGCCGGTTATCGGCATTTCTCTCCCCTCGAGCTGTAGCGCTGACAGCTAGAGAGGAGAGGAGAGCCGGTAATCATCATTCCTCGGAGGGGACATGTACACTGATCATCAGGGCACTGATGATCAGTGTGCCCTGATGATCTGTGTAGCCGCAGCAGCACCACCTGTCAGTGTCCATCAGTGCCAGCTCTCAGTGCTCATCCATGCCACCTGCCAGTGCCCACCAGTGCCACATCAGTGCCACATTTCAGTGCCCATCAGTGCCACATCAATGCCACATATCAGTGCCCATCTGAGCTGCCTTTCAGTTCACCCATCAATGCTAGTCAGTGCCACCTATCAATGCGAGTCAGTGCCACCTTTCAGTGCTGCCAATCAGTGCCACCTATCAGTACCAGTCAGTGCCACCTATCAGTGCCAGCCAGTGCCGCCTATCAGTGTGCATCAGTGCCGCCTATCAGTACCCTTCAGTGCTGCCTACCAGTGCCGCCTAACAGTGCCAGTCAGTGCCACCTAACAGTGCCAGTCAGAGCCACCTATCAGTGCCACCTATCAGTGCTGCCTTTCAGTGCCCATCAGTGATGCCTGTCAATGCCCATCAGTGCCACCTACCTGTGCCTCTTCATCAGTGCCCATCAGTGCCACCTATCAGTGTCCATCAGTGCAGCCTATCAGTGCCCATCACTGCAGCCTCATTAGCGCACATCAGTGAAGGAGAAAATTCACTTATTTACAAAATATTATAACAAAAACTAAGAAAAAACGTGTTTTTTTTCCAAATTTTCAGTGGTTTTTGGTTTGTTTAAGAAAAAATAAAAAACCCAGAGGTAATTAAATACCACCAAAATAAAGCTCTATCTGTCACAAAAAAATGATAAACATTTCATATGGGTACAGTATTGCATGACCGCACAATTGTCATTCAAAGTGCAACAGTGCTGAAAGCTGGAAATTGGCCTGGGCAGGAAGGGGGTATAGGTGCCCTGTAGGCTAGAGGTTAAATGACCTGCAAAATGACAGCTCCCATCCACTCTATGCTGTTTGCAGAGCAAGCGGCCAGGAATTATTCTCATCTTTACTAGACCCTAATCCTAAATGAGGGTCTGGTATAGATGTTAATGAGGTACCCTCACAAAAAGCAAAATGACATCGGCTTCCCACCAAGGCATGTCTTCTTAAGGTCTAGCGTGGATTTTAAGTGTAAATCCCAAGCAAAAATCAAGAAAAAAGCATGATGTCCCTGCAAAAAATACACACCCAACTCTTATCTGAACATATAGATTGGCAGGTCAGGAAAGGGGGAGGGTGTATATGCACCTCCCCTTTCTGAACTATACTAGGCCAAATGCCCTGAACATTGGGGCAAGCAGATACCTGCCCCCTCCCAGGTGAACCAGTAAGGGGTACATTGCCTCTACTCATTCACAAAAGAATAAAGTGTACATAAAAACACAAACAAACACATGACAAATGTACTGTATATTCATTATATTCAGTCATGTTGTCCACCAATGCTGATCCATGTCAATCATGATCTGATGGCTGCCAACCCACAAAAGAAAAATAAAACTACATCAACTAACATCTGGTCTTGTCACTTTCCTTGTGTCAAAGGACAAGTCCAAACCATGCTGATAAAATGCAAAGGAGTTGGGTCTCCTGTGTTACACCATTGACCACATAGGAACAAGTACCTTGTCTGGTCAATGATGTCGTGGGGTCGGGTCCCATGTTTGCTAAGGGAGTAGCAGATGTAGGCACCCATGGTAAGGAAACCATGGGTAGCAGAAGAAGGAAACTGCCATACATAGTAGGATGTACAGTATATACAGTATAATATACAGGAAAAACCCACTACTAGATATGATATTCAGCTTCTGACAAAAGGGCTTAAAGTCCTACATTCAGACAAATGGCGAACAAGAAAAGTTCAATCCGAACCCATGTTCAGACCAAACTGGGAGCTCATCCCTACATTTCCAGAGCATTTCCAGGGCATATCTATACCACCTCACCATCACCATGAAGGTCTTATTTTTGCCATTGTTACAGATTATTTTATCAGTTTTAGAAAAATCGGAGGTGGCTGCAGAATTGGAATTACCATGTTTTACAAAATATATTGCTAAACAATTATATACAATAGGATCTGTTTTAGAAAGCCAATCGCCTGATAACTTCCTAGGCTCTCTGCCCATGTACAAGGAGGGCTTATGGAGATGAGGAGAGGTCTATTTTCTTTGTAATCCATCAGAACTGAAGTGTGCAGGGCTTACATGTTGTGCTCAGGAATTCAGAGCTGTGTTGTTATGTCAAAGAGAAAGGCAGGGGCATATTTTCCCTCTCACCTGGTTCACCAGGTTCACCTGGTGATCTGACCAGTAACACGCCTCCTGTATTAGAGAGCCTCCACTCTGAATAAAGGAGCACAGGTGGCACCTATGGACAGTAGCATTGTCACTGTGAGTGCAGGGGAGTGTTAGATGTACTAGCAGATTTAGATACACTAACACATTGAAGCCAAACTCTGGCTCACAATGCAGTTATGCAAGCAATTACATCAACAGTTTTCTTTTTCAATACAGGTTTTACACAAATAACTAAGCTGATCATTGGAAGCACCCTTGGTAAATAGTTTTGTCTCAACACTATAACTGCAACATTTGCTGGAGAGTATGTTCTGTTCAAAAAAACAACAGACTTACTGGCCGGATCACCAGATTAAAATAAAGGAAAGAAAGCCTAATAAAGAAAAGAAATGCAGCCATCACATCTAAGAATTAGTAAGCTGCAATATAATAAATATTTGCTTTTTTGTTTAATACCGCTTTATGGGGAAACAAACATATAGAAATGTTTATGTATTCCAGAGATGTATTAAATATTTTTTTTGTATTTTGCTTTGACGTGTGCTTTAAAAATAGGATTTTTTTTTTGATGAATGAGACTATTTCTTTTGTGCTGTAGTATGCCATGTTTAGAACTTTGCGTCACACTATAGCACTAATGATGGTCTCAGCATGGTCAATGTAATTTTGCCATCACAGTGCTTTGGTAGTTAGTACTGCTTGTTTTCTGTTCTAAATCTTAAGTTTAACTCCAATTAGAACATTATCTACATGCAGTTTTTATGTTCTTTCTGTATCTGCATGTAATTTCTCAATGTGCCTGATTTCCTCCCACATTTTAGAAACACGCTGGCTAACTGGTTTAGCAATCAGTGAAAAGGTGTATATTTGTATCCGCATGCTTTTTGAACGGATATCAAATCATGCACTCCCCTGGTTTATTCAATGTACTGTACTTTATAAAGGATGAGGCACATTAAGTATATCTACATTTTTCATTTTGTATATTACACAGTAAATAAAACAGAGCTGTTACAGAAGTGTTATGATCTTTGTAAACAGTGAAATAAATTTGATCATGTTAGGTCTTACATTATACATATTACTTAACTCATCTCTAGCAAACGTTTATCATAGAGACATTGTATCAGTGAAATTATAGTCTTAATATCTATATGATGAAAAATAGGCTTCTTAAAGTACATTGAATTGTCAGTTATTTGTTAGACTTCCCCTTGCAGTCTAACAAATGATTGTCTGTTTTTTTTCCCACTTGTACCATTTACTTTGAGATATATTACAGACTACCAGTCCTTAGAAGTGGTGGATGCATTAGATTTTATTTTTCAGGCTTTTTTTCCCTTTATGTTGACCCAATGTTCCTACCAGTAACATGCTAGTGTAACAGAATAACAACACTCAATTACTGTACTGTAGTTGTGGAGGAGCAATGTTTTCACCTTCAGACAGGACTATACTTTCACAAACACAGGCGGGAGGTGTTTAGTCCAGAGAGAGAACCAAGAATAATGCAGTTTGGTTGCATACATAGTGTGGACCAAGGTTTAAAGTGAATTGAAAGTGAAGTGAACAGGGGGGCACTCGCAAGCAGTGAACAAAGATGGCCACATGCTAATCCCTCTCCTCCCCATCCGCACACATCCACCATCTGCTTGACTACCTGGAGGGCATTATCTCCTCCCGTCTATCCGGGTACAGCCTTGTGTATCCCTGGAGATACTGATGGGGAAAAAGACGGTCCAAACCTCGGGTGAACTCTTCTCTCTGAACACCATCTTTGAAGCTCTAGTCACGAGCTGCTCTTTGCAGAATCAGACCAGCTCCCCGCATCAAGCGACAGCACAGTAGGCACATGGAAGCTCTAGGCAACAGACACCTTGTCAGGTCTCAGCCATTTTGTTTTTCCTGAGCCCAGTGAACTTACCCCCCCTCCCTTCTCCTGCCAACTATGGAATTCATAGCTTTAACTTTTAACACACTTCAAAAGAGCCTGTTATCTCAAATTAGGGACAGCAGACACAAACACACAGGCTTTGTCAGAGCTGTAAGCTGCTAATTGAAGTCTGCAGGATGCCTGTTTCTACGGGCCATAGAAAACTGTACAGATTAACACTTCTCTCTGACCTATCGTAAAACAATGAAAAAATCCACCCTTCTGTCACACATGATGTGTAGGGCAATTAAAGCTTCAAGAATGCATAGTGTGCTATAAAATGTATACCCATAAATCAGCCAAGCATGGGAGACCTCTCTGAGCCTCTGCCCAATTCACAACTTAACAAAATCCCCTCACAATTCATAAAATCCAACAGGACCATGACACATTATTATTAGGTATTTATTTGAATGGGAAATATCATTCCGAACAAATCAAGGTCATACATGACTAAGCTAGCGCATACAAAAGGGGAGAAAGCAGTCTCATATCTCCTGTCTGACAGACCCATCTAAAATACTCTGTGTTTGGTATCCCTGGACACAAAATATAATGCTGAACAATAATTTACCAGTTTTCAGAGTGCAACCTGTATATAGTGGAAGATATTAATATTAGTATAAAACTGTATTTGGGACTTGGTCATAAACGTGGTGACTTCCCAGCACCCACCCCTGAAACGGATAATTGGTCAGATGGTCTCTGTAAACACTCCTTTGATACCACAGAAAAAGGAACTGGCAGTACCTCTTGTTAAGCTCTCGTTTTAACATCAACCAAGGAACACTTAACTGGACTTGAGAGAGCCATGGCACCATTTTTGCTTGAATGATTGGACTCTAAATCAAGGACGTTGCAAGTATTCTTCATTTTCAACTCCTTCTTAAATCTCTGTTGCTTTATTGTTCTCTTTGTTTCTATGAAACACCTTTTTTTTCTGTAAATATTTTATTTGCACCATTTTGACCTTTTCATTATTAAACCCTATTTTGAAAAGTATTAAACTGTCTCTAAGGCTTTTAATGCAAACAAAAAGAATTTCTGTCCATGGAAGAGTGCTACTGTAAAATAATC